ATTGTTGTCTACATTGCAACCACTTGTTATTCGTTATCTTGAAACTAAAATATGCTGTAGTTGTAAATTAAAAAAATGTCTAATTATATTTGATTGAACGTAAACTAGAATAATCTGATTTCTCCATTTCTGGAAAGAGCGAACCATATATTGTATTTTATTTATCGTAAAAATGTCTAATCCCGAAATATATTTAAAATAATACCAAAGAGTCTGCTCATCCACGACTCGAACAATTACTTTATGATAATGACCGTACGGCATTAATTTAATAGAAGTACATTCAGAATGTGCCTGTCGTTCGGTTTAAACGAATTGCAGAGCGCGAACGTCAAATACCTCCTTTCAACGTAGAAGAGAACGAAGCGTGAAGTATGCACTGGAATTTCACTGAAGTCGGAACGAGTGTAAGGTTATCCGTTTCGCGATGTTACGTAGAACAACTTAGTCGAGCGAATGCACAGAATATCTTCTACGGTGCGAGCATTTTTATTACTTGTACAACGTCATAGAGCTTCATCGACAGTTCCAACTGTGCAAACAAATAATCGAACATTTCCTTCGACCTGTACGCAAAAATTTAGAAACACGAAAGGAGAGGTGCTTTCATCGCGACCAAGAACGAATTTCTTTAGTCTCGAAGGATAATGTTATCGACGGTCGATCCGTCTGGCTCGGCGGTAAGCTCCTCTCCTGAAAATTCGTCCTTTTTTCACGGATCATATCACTCGATTCGTGGCTGACTCGCAACGTGCGTGTCCCAGGCCGTTCGTCGACTCTTTGATTTATTAAAGCCCACGGATCCACGTCGTTCGTATCGTATCCACTTATCGAGCTGTCCGTGTCCCTGAACGATCCGTTTAACGTGCGCATAAAAGCTTTCTCTACTTTCGCTATCCCCGAGGCAGGTAATTTCGAAGGGATTTCGCCTGTTCGCGTCACTGGTTCCGAGAGGGAACGAACTGTCCTCGCCGATCCAGCTCCCCCGTTTTATCTATCATCCACCGGCCGAATCTTCGCCGACACACAACGTTTTCTTGACCACGGCTCGTTGAACTTGCCAAATAATTTTACTCGCGGGACGAGCGACCTCGGTTTTATCGACAACGATGCACCGCCTCTCCCTCGTCCAGAAAATCCATTATCCTTTCCTCAGGATTCCGAATACGATCTCGACAGACTTCTAATAAACTCTTGTTCGTCCCGTATACGTAGCTAGTATTGCCTTTTCGCTTGAACGCAAGCCTGACATTCGATAAACAGTATCTCGTCGAGTTTCGATAACAGCGTTTTGAATTCTTTACTGAAACTCATTAAAAAGAAGAGGATGCTGGAAACTCGTAATTTCGCGCCGGAAAAGACCGTTTCCTTCGCTGCTTTGTCACTCGATTTTTCGTTGGCGTTAAACTTGTCCTCGATGTCGCGAACTTCTGGAAAGCAAAGAATGAAACCGTAACTCAAGAATGTCGCGACAAAGGCGTTTACTTATTTTGGACGGTCTACTTAGCGCGCTGATTAAAATACTGGGCGTCTCGTGACACTCGTGAAAATTAAAGAACGTTCAAAGAGGCGAAGGCATCGAATCGTTGGACGTAATTCACGTCGTCACAGAAGAGCTACGATCCGCAATGGTAAACTAAAGGCGTGATTCCACTGAGGCAACATGTAGCATGCGGCAATGACGCATGCGACGAAACACAATTTTATTAAGTCAACATTTAGGCAACATGTCGCATGCGATTACGACGCATGCAACATGAAATCGACGTTATGTAGACACTTGACATGTGTATTTGCTACACATTCATTTGTTTCCTTTCCGAAATAAAGAAATGCGGGATTATTTTATATTGTTTTGTCGAATCGACAAGATTGAACATGTCGAGTAATTTCGTCAGTTAATGACAAATAGCATGCTACAGGTCGCATAGTGTTACCGAACGACATGTGGCATGTTACAAGTCGCATAGTGTTGCCTCAGTGGAATCATACCTTAATATCGAGAAAAATGGTAAATTATCGTCGTACGTCGCTTTCAACGTTACAGAGATAAGCAAACATTCTTATCGCTGGAATTTGAATGTTTAAAAATTCAACTCTCAACGCGCCACGAACAGCAGTTTCCTATAGTACGATCGTAACTGGATGAAATGAATATTTTATGTTAACAGAGCCCGTGGTACAAATTAGATCTAACCAACGTTCTATGCTAATGCAAGACGGTGCTCGAAGCTGATTCTAATTCGGAATGTTTCGTACTTTTGTTCGGTAATTTTGTCGGTGGTTGCGGCGAAATGTAAATTTTATCTCACTGTTCGAAATCGATCGAATAGTTAAACACACCTGTTCGACTCGCCTACGCATCGTTCATTCCACGTGCGACAGCACGAAACGAAGACGTAACTAGCTTAATGTCTTTCACCGCGAGCTTTCGATGTTTAAATAAACTACGTGGCTGCGATTGATCGATTTCGAGCCTGTACAACAACGTTTCCATGATTTCGACGGCTCAGAGTATACGAAACTTAGAATTTTCTTTACATAATTCTTATCGTTGTAAAAAATATTTTATCTGTCGCATTATTTCGAAACCTTCTGTTTAGCATTCGTATCTCGTTCGTTCAATTTTCTACCGATAATATTGGAATATTTTCGTAATCCTGTGTATATACAGCTGAATTTGCATTATACACTAAAACTTTTACAAAATGCCCACCTATACTCGCTTTAATACACGATCGATTGAACAATTTCTATAGATTTTAATCCAAACCAGTTACGCAAACTTAAATGTACGTAATAGATGTCCACAGTCGTAAATTTTAATTAATCGCTGACAAAGGCGTGGCGTTCAACTTGTTTCACGCCAAATCGATCATTTTGTCAAATATATTCGAGAATCGCATGTCTTTGAACTTGGAAATTTTTGGCACTTTAAATGAAAACGACCTGTTCAAATAAATCACTATCCCTGTAACTGGCAATACTTCTCTTGTTCTGCTTGTTCGACAAATATAATTACTAACCATTACTTCAAAAACATTGCATTTATTTGATATAAATTAATTTAATCCTCGTCAAATTTTAACCAAAGTAATTTTATCGGAAAATATCGATACCAATAATGGAAAAAATGAACGTATACCGTTTCATATTTCTACCGGTATAACTTTATTTGTCCGTGTATCATTTACGAACGGAACATAATACGCGCGGTATCATTATTTCGTTTCAACGAGCATTTAACGAAATATCGCGCGTCGAGGTTTCAAACAAAATAAAAATATGTCCTGTCCGCCTCATTGTTATTTTTTCGAACAAAGAACTCGCCCAACGTATTGTCCGCGCGGAGGAGAAACTTAACGAAAATCGTTAAAATTGCTCCTGAAACGAAACTCCTACATGTTCCCTTTCTATCCAAAGTTTATCCCGGTCGCACTTTTATGGCAACAGAAACAATTGACTTCGTCAAAATCGGTACAATGCCGGGGAACCGGCGAAGAATCTATAGTCCTCGCCTTTTGTGGCTTACGCGAATCGATAAACTAACGTAAATTTCATTTAGTTTAAATTCTGAACACAAAATTACATTAGGGGCCACTGTAAACTTTGCGGACAGGTTTACCCAATTTAACTACACGGATCGGTAGTGGATTCCTCGTCTGCAGGGCTAATACCGTTGTCCACCGTGGTTAGACCCCGCTCTGCGTTGCTATTCACGGATAAAAAATGCAAATCTGCGAGGATGTATCGAGAACAAAATAGAATAGAGTTCGTAAGAACTGCGAGGACTTCTCTTGACTTTTTTATTTCCATTTGCTCTTCGGTCTTTACATTTTGAAATATACCTCGACGCGTTTAATTTTTTTACTTCATTTTTTGAAAGTATATATATTTAAGAATGTACTGTTAAATTTTCAGAGATAAATGTCAAGTATTGTAGATTGTAGAACATTTTTTGTATACCCCTCGCGGTAATTACCGGAGTCATTGCTTCGGGTGATTACCATGTACAGCCCAGACATTACTGTTTCGAAAGGTTTACGACAGAGTCAAGAGACATCTGCTGTTATTAGAAGTTGAAATTTGTGCGTTTTTGTCATCTAAGTGGCAATATTCTGGAAGGAATTCTATATGGAGCTGAGATTGATGAGTATGATCTTGCAGACTTTAAATGCGTTTCTTTCTTAACTGGCGTAGATAAAATCTCAAAAACTATACTATTAAAAACTTGCAAAAGAAACGACGAAATTTTGCAATTTTTACCTGTTGTATACCTATCGAATAAAAATCTTTTTGATTTTTTCGATGTAGTCAAGAGAGAGCTTGAGAGCTGCAATCACCTACGCTAGTGTTTAAACACATGTTTACTGCGGACGTGATAACAACATAAAAATTAATAAAAAAATTATCTTGTATTCCCAAAGGATAGCTAAGTAAACTGCAGAACAGAATCATAACGTCAGATGTAACATTTCCTTAAACAAAATTAAGAAAAATGGTTCAATTTTCTATCATTCACATGAGACTCTCCCCTTAACAACGCGAGGATCCAATAAATATTATTCGAGAGAAAAAGACATCGAAGTTTCGTACAATACGATAGATATGATCACACGCGTTCACGAGCATCCTGAACGCAACTGCATTGGGAGTATGTGGGTTGCCTAGTGCCGCAATGCAACATCCTAAAGCATTGTAGTTTTACTGTTCCGTCGGGTCCCGTCTGCCTGCTCAAATTCGTAACGTTACGTAACTCGTATCCTGCGCCAGGTATGTACGAGCATACAAATACGAGGACGCGAACGACGAATAGACAGCTGACTCGCGGTAGCACGTTTTTCGAACTGAGAAACGACCAACGAAAGAAACATGCACGCGTGAATGAAGATTAGTGGACGATGGGAATGTAAACCACGACCAGCCTCTGATGCCTCGGGAGTACGGAAAAATATGAATCTAAATTATGAACCGTGTACAGCCGTTCGTTTTTATTTCAGTTGTCGCCAAAGAAGTCTCGAATCATGTGGAAGGTCCTGCTGATCGTTGCCTTCTTGACAGCCAAAGGTATTTCTTTTTCTCAACAATTCCCTCGGGGTGTCTCTAGTCCTGCTGATTTTCATTACAGGCAACGCGAACGACTGCGTGTCTCGTAGTTTTGGTCTAAATCACATAGTATGCGTCTGCAACGCGACTTATTGCGATTACACGCCGGACAATGACCCGAAAGTTCCGGAAGATGGAAGCTTTTATTGGTACACCACGACTAAGCAGGGACTTAGGATGAGCATGGTGAAGGGCCAGTTCGATCCCTCTAAACGCTTGAATTTCGGTACGACTCTGACCATAGATACTTCGAAAAGATACCAAACGATCCACGGTTTCGGGGGTGCGTTCACAGACTCTGCAGGGATAAACATCAAGAAACTGAGCCCGGCGACTCAGGATCAACTGATCCGGTAACGCTTACGCAAACATTCACATTATTAGACCGTGTAACTTATGAAACTTCACCGCTTCTAGCGCGTATTACGATCCGAAATTGGGGAGCAGGTATACGTTGGGTCGTGTGCCGATCGGTGGTTCCGATTTCTCAACGAGACCGTACACGTACGACGACTACGACAACGACACTTCCTTGAAACATTTTGCACTCACGAAAGAAGACTACGACTATAAAATACCATTCATGCAGAAGGCCTTCAAATTGAATCCTGAAACAGATTTCTTTGCCGCGGCGTGGTCACCGCCTAAGTGGATGAAAACCAACGACAGGATCAATGGGTTTGGTAAGAACAATTTAGCAAAACCTCGTGAAGACAGAGACGATCAATTTTATGAAACACCCGTCAGGTTTCTTGAAGAGAGAATACTATGACCTCTATTGCAATTATCTACTGAAGTTCTTGGACGAGTATAAAAAGAATGGTTTGAAAATGTGGGCGATTTCAACCGGTAACGAGCCAGTGAACGCTTACGTACCCTTTGATCCCCTCAGCACTATGGGATGGACGCCTGCAACAATGTCCAATTGGATTGCTGATCACTTGGGTCCGAAGCTGGCGGCGTCAGAGCACAACGACACTAAGATTTTAGCTCTCGACGATCAGAGAATCGAATTACCCTGGTTCATTCAGAAAGTGTTTGCCAATAAAAACGCAAAGAAATACGTTGCTGGCACGGCTGTACATTGGTACACCGATGCTTTCGTTTCATCGATGGTATTGGATCTCACACACGACCAATTTCCAGACAAATTTATTTTGATGACAGAGGCATGTACAGGTAAGTTGTCGCGTATTACCTCCGTACGCGCAAAGAATTTAACAAATTCAACATGTACTTTAAGATGGCACCACTTACAGAAAAAATACAACAACGTCGCTTGTACATATATTTTTGCAGGAAGCGGATTGTTAGATTTCCCGAAGGTTAATCTGGGAGCGTGGGACCGGGGCCAACAGTACATTCTAAGCATCATAGATGTACGATAAAACTATCTTGTAGCAACGAATTCGATAACAGGTCGTTGCTAAAAAAATAATTTTTTTTTAGTACATAAACCATTGGTCGATCGGATGGGTGGACTGGAACATAGCACTGGATAAAACTGGCGGACCAAACTGGATTAATAATTTCGTAGATGCACCCATTATCGTGGACCCAGAAACCGACGAATTTTACAAACAGCCCATGTATTATGCTCTGAAGCATTTCAGTAGATTCGTCGACAGAGGTTCTGTCAGGATTTCTATCACAGATACCTTGCACATCAAATCTACAGCATTCGTGACACCTTCGAACGAAGTTGTTGTTGTACTGTACAACAGGTAGCACATATTGTTTTTAAATGTCCACGTAACAAATCACTTGAACATTCTTTTTTCTGTTACAGGAGCGGCATAGCAAGAAACGTTACTCTCATGGATTTGAAGAAAGGTTCCCTCCGCGTAGAATTACCGCCATACTCTATGAATACTATTACTTATGGACACTAAAAATTGTAAACACGTGTAATTTAAAACCTTAAGAGAATGAAAGCCCCTTATCCGATCTACATTCGTTAAATTGTCACGCAATATCGAATTAAAATACAAAACTACTTGCACTGCTAGCAATTGAATTATTAAAAAAGATAGTGGAATATTTAAGAACTACGTATATAATATTTACAACGTATTTTCCAAAGGATCAGCAACTTTCATTGATGGACCGCTGCTCCATGAATATCAGTTTTCAGTAATATAAAGTGGCATAATATTGACTTGGATTTGCAACAGCGTGTGTTACGATTACTGTGGAAACAAGAAAGATAAGATAACAACTTCTGACAAGCCATGTTTCTGTAAAATGTTGACTCTTTAAGCCCTTGGTTATTATGCGAATCACAAAAAGACAATCCATAATTTTTAATTTCTAATCGTAAAAAATACCTTGGACTATTGATCGTGATAGAAAAATAAAAACGAACGAGAAATCTTGCCACGAATAATAGAAAGGGGAAGAATATAAGGAAAATTAATGAAGGGTAAGGCTATTCTTAAAACGCTATTAATTATTGTCAATGTCTTTCTAGCAACACACGAACTATGGACGTAAAAATGTCTGCGTTGCGTGACGGAATTGCTATCCCTTGCCAAGTTTTATCTTACTCGCGATGTATTGCTGCTGCCACGGTAAATTAATATCACGGGCCACAGTGTGAGCTATTCGCATACCAGTACCCTGACTGGCCAAGAATCCCAGTTTATGAAGTTTTGCAGATACCGATCTTAGGGCTGACGTTCTCCAAATATCTGTTTAACTATTAATAAACCACAATTAAGGCAACAAATCTAGCGATTATTCAGTTTCCCCTATCACGATCTAAAACCGGACCTGCCCATGGATGGGTTTATTAAAAATCAAAAACGAATTTTTAAGTAAAATCGACAGGGGTAGGTGCCTAAATTTTTCGACGAAAAAAACAATTTCAAATCGTTGTAAAAAAATTATTTTCGGTTGCGGGGGTCAATTATAACCATTTTTGGTGAATAGACATACCCCCGGAATCCTACCCACTTTCTAGAAAAAAATTCGAGAGGGTGTGCAATTTTTCGACCGGAAAAAAAATTTCAAATCGTTGTAAAACAATTATTTTTGGTTGCGGGGGTCAATCGCAATCATTTTTGGTCAATAGATATACCCCCGAATTCCTACCCACTTTCGAGAAAAAAATTCCTTACCGAAAATATAATTTCAGGCTCTCCGAAATTTCGTGCCTACGTTTAAAACATCATAACTTTTGAACGGATTGGACGATTTCAATGTTTAAAAATGCAAATGACGCGTATTTTACCACAGAATATGTAGAGATTCTAACAATATTGAAAAAATTGTTCCTTGACCCCGTAAAGTGAGAGAAACCACATAAAAATGGTCCAATTTTCAAACAGCCATAACTCCTACAATAGTGAATATATTTCAATGAAACTTTTTTCTGAAGTAGATCTCATGAGTACCTACAAAGAAATATTAGACAACTTTTCTGTATTGAGTCAAACAAAATTACTAAAAATCAAAAACGAATTTTTAAGTGAAATCGAAAGGGGGATTATTTTCGGTTGCGGGGGTAAATTACGAATATTTTTGATGAATAGACATACCCTCGAAATCCTACCCAATTTCGAGAACAAAATTCGAGTTCGGCGAAAAAAAAAACTTCGAATCGTTCTAAAAAAAATATTTTTAGCTAGAGCGGTCAATTACAAGCATTTTTTGTGAATAGACATCCCCGAAATCCTACGTATTTCCGAGAAAAAAGTTCGTTACCGAATCTATAACGTGTGGCGAGAAATGTTTCTGTAATTTTATTTTCTGTCTCACTTCCTCGTGTGTTCATTATGTTACGACCAATAGGAAACGAAATACTTCACGAGATATTTCACGCTTTGTATTAGAATATTACTGTGTCACAGCAAACGTTTGAACAACGTGCGAGATTTTAATACAACGTACAGTTACTTTGGTTACATTATCAACCGTTATTAATACGTCTTCGTTGACGCACGAATAATTAACAAAACACCTGTATTGCGTCAGGTAGTCGTGATCAGTTATCAGGTACTATCTTAGTTCTGATCTGCCGCTGTTCTCGTGGTAAATTAATGTCGTTAGGCCTTGGCTCAGATTTCGATGATGTGTGGACGATGTCAAATAAGACGTATTGGGCACGTAGTTACACCACTAACTTATACATATACAAAGTGTCCTATTTGTCACGAGCACCTTGAACGTCTTTGTTGATGCTACCATTTGAAACGAGAATTATTCTCCCCCCTTCATTACTGACAACTCGCTCACGAATTATTTACGACTGGTTTCTCAACGTCAATTTCTATTTCACCACATTGCAATGTCTACTATCTATGATATAAAAGCTTGAAGCTATCAGCTAGCGAAACAATCGCAATATTATAACAGTAATTGGTGCACTGTCATGGTCGTAGCGTGGTTTCCGCGCGTAGGATGACCCGGTAGGAAACGGAAGTGGAAACAGACGCCTGAGGACAGCCAGGTGGGGCTTACTCGAATGGTACCGCAGGAATCGGCAGAACGAAGCGGCAGGTTTGAACGATCTCCAGTACCTTACAAGGCTCAACATGACAGGGTGTTTAATCCCTAGTCCTCTGTGACAGCTGATGAGGTTGGATCATCGTGCTGGCAACGGTAGCCCTATATCGCGCGGATGAACCAAGGCTTACCGCGTGAGTTGTAGTTTGAATACGTCAACTTGCGCACCGTTCTACTGAGACAGGAAAGGATTAGAGAAGCTTTGCACCAACCAGTGTGGATTCATGGAGCTTACTATCCTGGTATCATACTGGAACCCCATACCAGAACGTCCGAATGCTGTGACTGAGAGTGTCCCGATCCTGACACTCAATGAAGGGCACCAGTTATCGACTAAAACCTGCAAACAACAGAGCTACAGCTCAATCATCCTCAATGTTGAACTTCCATGTTACCTTGACCATTTCCAACGCAAGGATCGCGTAAACCACTAGTGACTTATCAGAAAATTGATGCATTACCAACGCAAAATGACAAATGATCGTTTCTGCTGAAAATTCCCTTCAAGAAAAACTCGCGACAATGTAGTATTTGTGAACATTTCTTATGTATAACGAAACGGTGTCGGTAACCAATCGATTCAGGAAGTATATTTAATTTGCTGCTCGTTAAACACGTACCTTCTGTTTCTCCTTCCACTCTCTAAAGTACACAAAACGTCGACTATATAAGAAACTGTCCACGGATTTGCTTTGATTCAGTCATTTCGAGCCAATGTCATCGAAGAACACTGGAATCATGTGGAAAACGTTCTTAGTTATTGCCTTCTTCTGTGCTGCAGGTAACATTAAATAATCGTTAACGAAAATTTTATTCAAACTCATTCTGGCGATTCGAGAGCAGAAATAAGCAGTCGAATCTATTCAACGGTCACTGTTATGGTTTCCCACAGGTAACGCGAACGATTGTGTGCCTCGAAGGTTCGGTTTTGACGGGATCGTGTGCGTTTGCAATGCAACGTACTGCGACGGGCTATCGAAAAACCAACCGGAAGTCCCGGACGAAGGAAACGCTTTCATGTACGTTTCGAACAAGAACGGACTCAGGCTCCAAGAATCGCTGGTACAATTCAACACCTGTCACATCTCGCTCTTCGAGTCCACCCTGACTGTAGACACTACGAAGAGGTATCAAACGATAGCAGGTTTCGGGGGTGCCCTCACCGATTCTGCCGGTTTGAACATTAAAAAGCTCAGCTCGGCTGCACAGGATCAGCTGTTACGGTAATCCCTAGCATCTATTGCTGAAATTAAATACATGCAATGTTCCAAATATTAACGATCGAATTTCTAGGTCGTATTACGATCCAAAAACCGGGAGCGGATATAATCTAGCCCGCCTGCCGATTGGTGGATCCGATTTCTCGACGAGACCTTACACCTACGACCCCTACGACAACGACACGACCCTGGAGCACTTTAACCTTGCCTTCGAAGATCACGAATATAAAATACCGTTCCTGCAGAAAGCTCTTAAATTAAACCCAAACCTGAAATTGTTCGGGGCAGTCTGGTCGCCACCGCCATGGATGAAAACCAACAACAAAGTCAACGGAGCAGGTAGAGTTCGCGATCGTCGACGAAATTAGCGTGGGAAGTGAACGATGATGCATGTTTTAACAGGTTTCCTCAAGAAGGAATACTATCAACTCTACGCGGAATATATATTGAAATTCTTGAAGAAGTATAAGGAGTTCGGTATCGATATTGCGGCCGTTTCAACGGGTAACGAACCGGGAAATGGCGTCGTGATCGTCGATCCTTTGAGCTCTATGGGTTGGACTCCGAACACCGTGGCCAAGTGGATCGCTAATAATTTGGGCCCGACTCTGGCTGCCTCTGAACACAATCGCACGCAAATTTTAGTCCTGGACGATCAGAGAATATTTCTGCCTTGGTACGTCGAAGAAATAGCTAAGAACGAAGAAGCGATGAAGTACGTCGCGGGAATAGCGTCGCATTGGTACACCGACTTCATAGTTCCGACGAGTGTGTTGGATCAAACGCACGACAAATTTCCAGACAAATTCCTCATCATGACCGAGGCGTGTTTAGGTAAGTATTTTCCTGCAGACAGAATGGAATAGCGCTGAAGTGTATTTTATTTGCGTGATGTGTTCACATAGGAACCGGAGAACCTTTGACTCCGGTTGTATTAGGATCGTGGTATCGAGGGGAAAAATACTTTTTGAGCATATTAGAGGTAACGTAATTTTTTTGTTTACAAGTTAGATGCAATTGCTAATGAAAAATACTTCGTTTTAAGTACATGAACCATTGGTACGCCGGATGGGTGGACTGGAACATGGTTCTGGACAAAACGGGCGGACCAAACTGGATTAAAAACAACGTCGACGCGCCCATTATCGTGAACCCGGAGAGCGACGAATTTTTCAAACAACCTATGTATTACGCTCTGAAACATTTCAGTAGATTCGTAGGCAGGGGCTCCGTCAAAGTTTCTGTCACCGACACCCTTCACATCAAGTCTACAGCGTTCGTAACACCTTCGAACAAAGTTGTTGTTGTACTGTACAACAGGTAATTCATAAAACTAGTTTACGAAACATAAGAGCAACGCGAGTTTCTAACAAATTAAATTCTATTTCGTGTTTCAGGAGCCTTTTGCCGAAACAAGTGATCCTAAAAGACCCGAAGAAGGGCAATCTCTGCTTCGAGTTATCTCCACTGTCTATGAACACTATAAAATATCAACAGTAACGAGCTAAACTAGGTGTTAGATGTTTTGGAAATACTCGTATCGTTCAGTTAATAAAGACAATTTACTCTACTGCGAGAAATGATTTCAAACCCCATAACAAACACACCTTTTTTTGATTATCGATTTATCTATCACTTTACCATTCTGAATACTTAATGCAAATTGGTAATTAGAAAGTTTTAACAATTTTTGCATGTTTTAATGCAAGAGCATTATTAAAGCTAGCACTCGCGAAAGGACAATCAACGATGAATTACTTCTTGATTTTTAAACAAAAATATTTAGATTCTAAACTTCGACCATGAAGCGTCTACCTCGTTCTTGAACGCATATCTAACAAAGCGCGATAAATAACAAATAATTATACAATAAAATTTTCCTACCAAGCTTCAAGGTACACACAACTTTATCTATACGTATAAGAAAACAACCACGATTTTGCTATGGTTCAATCGTTCGACGCGAATGTTACCAAAGAACATCGAGACCAGGTGGAGAACGTTTCTAGTTGTCGCATTCTTTATCGTCAAAGGTAAAATTACTTTCGACATTCACGCGCGTAGAAACTGCTGTTAATTTATCAGGCCGTTATGGCAATCCGTGAGCACGTCTACATAATTTCATGGTCACAGGCAGCGCGAAACGATTGCGCGACCTGTAATTTCGATATCGACCAAATCGTATACGTTTGCAATGCAACGTACTGCGATGGATTATCAAAGAACCACCTGGAAGTCTCGGACAGATGGGAGTGCTTACTGGTACGTTTCGAACAAGAAAGGGCTTAGGATGAGCGTGCAGACGGTGAAATTTAACGAAAATCAACCATGGAACGTCAAATCCATCCTGATCATAGATGGAACGAAGAAGTTGTAAGGATTGTCGAGGATGGTCAGAGGCGTATGGTCGGATTCAAACACGTGGACAATAAACGTAACTATATAAACTGTACTATTTAATATTTACTAACTATTTAACATGAAGAACATAAAAGAAAGACATAAAACGTAAACGTAAAACTGTGACTGCTCTCGACTAACGTTCGATACAGAGTGACGTTCCTGCAGTCAAAGTCGACCCTTCCTTATTCCTATCTTATAATAATGATCTAAACAAAACGCACGTTCGTACTCTAGCTTAGACTAAACATGACGCCAACGATCCCACAGGGATCAAAAGGTGTTGGGTTTTGGAGACGCCCTTACCGTTCAGAATCGTCTCAGCTACCCCACATTTCTGGCTCTTACACTATTTACGGGACACCCTGTATGCAGGAAAAATTTTAATGGGTGATTCTAGAGGCCAAAATAAGACGAAAATGAAGAATACCAATTTATTGATGGAGGCTTTGTTAAAAAGTTAGTAACGTTTAAAGTTCCGCCCGTACTGAATTTTTTTCTCGAAAATGCTCAGGATTTCGGGGGTATGTCTGTTCACCAAAAATTATTGTAATTGACCCCCGTAACCGAAAATAATTTTTCCAAAACGATTTGAAAGTTTTTTTTTCCGGTCGAAAAATTGCACACCTTCTCGAATTTTTTTCTAGAAAGTAGGTAGGATTTTGGGGGTATGTCTATTTACCAAAAATTATTGTAATTGACTCCCGCAACCGAAAATAATTTTTCCAGAACAATTTGAAAAATTCTTTTTTCGCCGAAAAGTTTAGCAGCTACCCGATTTTTTTTCTCGAAAATGGATGGGATTTCGGAGGTATGTGTATTCGCCAAAAATAATTGTAATTGACCCTTGCAATCGAAAATAATTTTTCCAGAACGATTTGAAATTTTTGAATTTAATTGTTAATAACTTTTTAACTAAAATTCCCAGTGGTGGCCGAATACCCTGTATACGATCCTCAACCGAGTTCCCAATATCTCAGACGTCTTTTTTTGTTTACAAGTTAGATGCAATTGCTAATGAAAAATACTTCGTTTTTAAGTACATGAATCATTGGAACGTCGGATGGGCAGACTGGAATATAGCTCTGGACAAAAAGGGTGGACCAAACTGGATTAAGAATAATGTCGATTCACCCACGAATTCTACAAACAGCCCATGTACTATGCTCTGAAGCATTTCAGCAGATTCGTCGACAGAGATTCTGTCAGGATTTCTATCACAGATACCTTACACATCAAGTCTACAGCGTTCGTAACACCTTCGAACGAAGTTGTTTTTGTACTGTACAACAGGTAACGTACATGATTGTAATATGTTTGGCGCGAATCATCTTTCTTCTGACGTGATACAGTTTCTAACAAACGAAATTCTGTTTCGTGTTTTAGGGGTCTTTCGCCGAAACAAGTGGTTCTGAAAGATGCAAAGAAGAGCAGTCTTTGCCTCGAATTATCTCCACAGTCTATGAACACCATAAAATATTAACAGTTACTAATATAGCTGATTCACACGATGTACGAATATAGTACTCCTAAATTGTGATGTTTGTACTAATAAGTGACACGTGCACAATATGATTGTATTATTTTGTAGAAGTATTTACATCCTTGTCCTTGTTCATTGCTAGTATCTATATAAGTGAAAGTTCTTTGGGGCTACAAATATGTTTTGAAAAATGTAATGATAAAAGAGTTCGATCGCCACTGTTGCAAAATATTCTTTAACCTTGGTTATGAGCCACACGAAGTATGGAATACATCAGGTTTGAAGCGCACATGTGTAATTACGTGTGTCTATCGGCTGTTCAAATTCATATATTTCGTCGTACGTTTACCTGCAAACGTGTACAATATTACTTCGTCTAATACAATGTATTGTCTCGTAAAGTATGATATGAGTCTGATAGAGGCAGATGGAGTCTGTTATACGACATAGACAGTCACCACAATGGAGATGGCAATCCAGAATACTTTACAGATGACACCTAAACCGCGAATTATGCAGACATTTGCCATGCAACTTCCCCTACCACGACTTCTAGATATACACAACTGGCAATACATATAACAATTCATCCATCGTTTAACGTTAATTCCATTAGTTTCGATTTGACTTCCACGGTCGAACGCTTGAAACATGTGGAAGACTCTCCTAATTGCTACCTGCTTCCTTACAAAAGGTAACATTGCGTTTGTAACATCGAAACTGCATTTTCTATAGGATTTATTATCACCTGCATTAGCTCGTAAACATCACGAAAGTTTCTATTATCAGTCTCAGGTTTTGTCAGGCACTGCGTGCCCTATACCGTTGGCACCGATGTAGTCGCGTGCGTTTGCAATGCAACTTATTGCGACGATACACCGTACAATGTTCCGAAAATTCCCCCGAAAGGGTCTTCCTACGTGTACGTGACAAACAAGAAGGGTCTAAGGATGAAAATGTTCAAGGCAAAGTTCAACATCTCTCGCAATAATTACTCCGACGCAATCTTAACCGTAGACCCTACAAAGAAATATCAAACGATTCTCGGTTTTGGGGGCACGTTCACCGATTCATTCGGTGCAATTTTGGAAAAGCTCAGCCTGGCCACGCAAAATCAAATAATCCGGTAATGGAGACCACAAACGAAACGATTTATTGTACGATTTGTCGTAGGTTAAACAATTAGCTAAATTTTACGATTTGCAGGACATATTTCTGTAAAAGGGCGGGAAGCAGGTATAGTTTAGGTCGCATACCGATCGCCGGCACAGATTTCTCAACGAGGCCTTACTCGTACGACGATGTAGCGAACGACACGTCGTTGGAACATTTTGCCCTCACATACGAAGATTATGCCTATAAAATACGAAACATACAGAAAGCCCTGCAACTAAATAGTCAAATTAAATTTGTTGCTAGTCCGTGGTCGGCCCCTGGGTGGATGAAAACCAACGGCGAATTCAGTCAATTTGGTAAACGTTAGAATATTTATAACAGACAATTTCTGAGCACTGAAATCACGGATCGTCCGATTGCTTAGGTTGCCTGAAGGAGGAGTATTATCAGACCTATGCTGATTACTTGGCGAAGTTTGTGGACAAGTATAAAAGGTACCATATCGACATATGGGCCGTGACCACGGGTAACGAGCCAACGATCGCCCCTCAGCTTAATGTTTCGAACATTATTACCATGGGATGGACACCCGAAAGCATGGCCAGCTGGGTCGGTGATTTCTTGGGACCAGCGCTAGAATCATCGATGAACCCAAACACGGTTGTGTTAGCCCTCGATGACAATAGAAACGTACTGTCAGAATTCGCTGAGCCGTTGTTTAGAAACGAAGATGCGTCCAAGTACACTGTAGGGGCTGGTGTACATTGGTATTTTGACAAAGATACACCTGCTACGATATTGGATGAGATTCACGAGGAATTCCCAGACAAACTGTTACTCATGACCGAAGCATCTATAGGTGAGCTTTCTCAAATCGAAATACAAGATTGGAATGATTTAATTTTGCGTTTGTGCAGGTCCGTCGACCTGGAAATCTTCGAACGTTGCGACGGAAGCGTGGAATGGCGGAGAAAAGTATATTTTGAGTATAATAGAGGTAAAACGATTGTTCATCGTGGTCACGACATCGACGGAATAATTTTTAACGGCTAACATTGTGGTTTAAGTATATGAATCATTGGTCGGTTGGATGGATAGACTGGAATTTAGCTCTCGACGAAGAGGGTGGACCATCCTGGGCTAACATGACCCTCGACGCAGCCATTATCGTGAACACAGAGGACGATGTGTTCTATAAACTGCCAGCGTTTTATGCCATCAGACATTTCAGTAGATTCGTTGACAGAGATTCTGTCAGGATTTCTATCACCGATACCCCTACCATCAAGACCACGGCCTTTTCGACAACTTCGGAGGAAATTGTTGTTGTGCTGTACAACAGGTAACACGGATTGCTTTCATTTTTGCATTTCAAATTATTATAATCGACATTTCATTTTGTATTCCAGCGATAGCTCTGCAAAGACCGTGACCCTTAAGGATGCGCGACAGGGTGCACTGCAGTTCAAATTATCTCCATATTCTATGAATACAGTGATCTATAAATCATGAACACGTTTTAAAATGCCACTAAATTGTAAGATTACCCGAAATAATAAATGACAAACGAACATCACGTTTCGATAGCAAGAAAATTACACAATATCCTCAAGGCTAACTCCAACTTTAGCCTCTGGTTATATTGTCTTCTTTGAAACTTAAAAAATGTTTTTCCCTCATCTTTGCAAACGTTATCTCGTCTCGTCGCGATGCAGGAATAATATACCCAAATACTTATCATAAATCTGAAATAAATCAAGACACGATAATGTGACGAACATTTCGGCAACACATATTTTCTTTTGTTTATCTTTTATCGTATTCCTGATGAACAGACGGGGGAAACTTCCGTTATCGGAACTCATTACATATTAATACGAGGTGTCCTCGATTCTGAACATTCGTCAGTATTGTTGAGTTATTCATACTTATTGCACATATTCATATAGAAACAGTGAAGACTCTTTTCTGCTGGTCTTAGTTTGGGGGACTAATTTGATTGTAAGAAGTGACGAAGATACTGCCCGCATCGTTCAAGAAGAAATGTCTCTCAACGTGGATGGGACATTTTCTAAACCAAATTTTTGAGAAAAAATTTGAAAGTAAAGATTTACGGTAGAATACCCCCTGAAACCAAAAGAAACACAGGCTACACGAGTAGTGTACTGACAGCCTTAAACTTTATTGGTTGTGAAAGCACACGTGTCAGGGAGTGAAATATATTTCATTACATATTACAAATATCGTAACGAATAAATCAACAACTACCGATAACTAACATCGAAACTTGTATTTTATCTTATCTACCTTGGCGAATAATATGAATGATTGCACGATGCAAATATTGCACCCACGATTACAGTGTCGGTAATATTGTTTCCCCTACCACGCTCCAAACAATATGCAACAGGACTATATAATAATTCATCCATCGGTGAATTTCAAAACGTTTCGTTTTAATTTTTACCATAGCCATCGAGCATTCCCGAAAATCATGTGGAAAGCATTTATATTCGTCGCCTTCTTCGTCGTCGCAGGTGAGATTTGATCGTTATCTAGAGAAAATCGAAAAATACGTTATGTTTCGTAGACTAAAGTTTCACGGCGGTTTCCACAATCGTAGGAAACGCGAAGAAGTGCGTGCCTTACGCCGGTAACGTTGTCGCGTGTGTTTGCAATGCAACATATTGCGACGATACGCCGAATAATGATCCGAAAATACCAAAAAAAGGGACGTCTTATTGGTACGTGACAAATAAGAAGGGTCTCAGGATGGAGATGTCAAAGGTGAAGTTTAATACCGGTGATCAATCTTCCTCCAAGTTAACGTTAACCGTCGATACGAAGAAGACGTATCAAACCATTCTCGGATTTGGGGGTGCCTTTACCGATTCTACCGGTCTAAACATAAGAAAACTCAGTCCAGCTACGCAATACCAACTCATACGGTAACCATTACCATTTTCAAGCATATTTAAAACAAGAACAAAAAACTGTAACCATCGCTAGCCACGAATGCTTCGTAATAATCGACTAGATTTCGTTATGCGTAGATCGTACTACTGTCCAAATACGGGAAGCAGGTATAACATAGGTCGCATACCGATCGCCAGCACAGATTTTTCGACGAGAACTTACTCGTACGACGATGTGGCGAACGACACTTCCTTGAAACATTTTGCACTCGCTCAGGAAGACTACGAGTATAAAATACCATACGCGAAAATGGCCCTTGAATTGAATCCTAAGACGATATTCTTTGGTAGCGCGTGGTCGGCACCAGGATGGATGAAAACCGACGACTCCTTCGACCATTTTGGTAAATTTTATTATACGTGGACACTTTTGTGAGCGACTGAACTTACCAACATAAGAACTACCGATCTCTTAAACAACCTTCAGGTTACTTGAAGAAAGAGTACTATCAGGTCTTTTCCGATTACTTGGCGAAGTTTGTGATCGAATACGAGAAACATGGCCTCGAGATGTGGGCCCTCACGACGGGTAACGAACCAACGATTGCCTTCCAAATCAACACGACGCGCATTGATACCATGGGATGGAAACCTAAAGACTTGGCTATGTGGGTTGCTAATTTCATGGGTCCGACTCTGGCATCGACGATGAACAAAGACCAGGTAGTCTTGGCCCTCGATGACGACAGAGTTTTATTGCCTTGGTTCGTCGAGCCATTATTTAAAAACGAAAACGCGTCCAAATACACTATAGGGACAGGTGTACATTGGTACTTTGACAAAGAAGCGCCTATAAAGGTATTGGATAAGACCCACAAGGAATTCCCAGACAAAATGTTACTTATGACCGAAGCATCTTTGGGTAAGTTCTTCCAGTTTAAATTAATAATATTATAATATTCTCGCGAAGAACCGCAAGTTTCATTTCGTGTTCGTATAGGTCCGCCATCGTGGGATAGTCCAAATGTTCTGAATTTATCGTGGAGTTACGCGGAAAGATACATTATCAACATAATACAGGTAGAACGATTATTCAAATTATAGTAATGTCTATGGAATGAAATTGAACGAATAACTTTTAACGATGTATGTTTCATTTTAAGTATATAAATCATTGGTCGGTCGGATGGGTGGACTGGAATTTAGCTCTCGACAGACAGGGTGGACCGTACCAGAATATCCCCCTCGATGCAACCATTATTGTAAATACAACCAAAGATGAATTTTATAAAATGCCTATGTATTATGCTATCCAGCACGTGAGTAGATTCGTTGATCGAGGCTCTGTCAGGATTTCCATCACCGATGACGACACTGTCAAATCTACGGCCTTCGTGACACCTGCGCAGGAAGTTGTTGTTGTACTCTATAACAAGTAATAAGGATCATTTCATACGAATTTAGTTGTCCGTGAAATATAAAATCCCCAACCGTTTCGTATTAATTGAAATTGCATTTTGCATTTCAGTCGCAGTTCTACAAATTCCGTGACCCTTAAGGACGCTCAACAGGGTGCATTGAACTTGAAATTATCTCCGTACTCGATGAACACCGTGATCTACAAAAAATAAATACTTTTTATGTGAAATGTTGAAATGTAACAACGATCGAAATAATAAATAACAGTTTGAAATTATACTTTCATCATTAACGAGAAAATAGTTTTGAAAATAATTCAAACTGTGCATTACCGCATAAACAATGTCAAAACCTGTCATGTATTTTATCTAGCTCGGTGAACGTAAAGTTTTCTTCGAGTGTCTGATATAAGTATCGCGCTTGTGACTAAGGTGACAGCGTACAGCCACGTCTCTCCTATCACGCTCAGAATTATGCACAAATCGACTATTTAAAAATTCAGCCACCGCTTGACTTCAACATTTTTCGCTGTAATTCGACCGGAAGCCATCGAACGTTCGAATCATGTGGAAGACATTTGCAATTGCTGCCGTCTTCTTCGCGGCAGGTAACGCGAAGGACTGTGTACCTTACTTTGATGGTACCGACATAGTAGCGTGCATCTGCAATGCAACCTATTGCGACGATACACCGAACAACGATCCGAAAATCCCGGAAAAAGGAACTTCTTATTGGTACGTGACAAACAAGGAGGGTCTCAGAATGAAAATGTTGAAGGCAGAGTTCAACACCTACCACGAATCTTCCCCTGACGAGACCTTAATCGTAGATACGAAGAAGAGGTATCAAACGATTTTTGGGTTTGGAGCTGCCTTCACCGATTCTGCTGGCATAAACATAAAAAGTCTCAGCCGTGCAACTCAAGAACAACTGATTCGGTAATTAACCAGCATCTAGACTGGCTAACTTTAATATTCGGACGCTTGTCGATTTCTGATCTTGTTTAATAAGCTTGTTTGATTGTTTGCAGCGCGTGTTACGATCCGGAATCAGGAAGCAGATACACGTTAGGTCGCATTCCGATAGCCAGTACCGATTTCTCAACGAGGGGTTACACGTACGACGATTATGCCAACGACACGTCGTTGGAACACTTCGCGCTGGCGCCAGAAGATTACGACTACAAAATACCTTACGCCAGAATGGCTCTCGAACTAAACCCGGAAGTAAGATTCGTCGGTGCCGCATGGTCGGCTCCACCATGGATGAAAACTGTTAACAAACTCGATGGTGGTAAATATAACGTTATACAGGGTGTTCGGCCAACCCTGGGAAAAATTTTAATGGGATATTCTACAGGCCAAAATACGACGAAAATCAAGAATACCAATTTGTTAATGGAGGCTTCGTTTAAAAGTTATTAACGTTTAAAGTACCACCCGTACTGAACTTTTTTTCTCGAAAATGCACAAGATTTCGGAGGTATGTCTATTCACCAAAAATGATTGTAATTGACCTCCGCAACCGAAAATAATTTTTCCAAAACGATTTGAAATTTTTTTTTTTCGGTTAAAAGTTTCACACCTCGAATTTTTGTCTAGAAAGTGGGTAGGAATTCGGGGGTATGTCTATTCACCAAAAATGATTATAATTGACCTCCGCAACCGAAAATAATTTTTCCAGAACGATTTGAAATTTTTGAATTTAATTGTTAATAACTTTTTAACGAAGCCTCCATCAATTTTGCCTCTAGAATCCCCCATTAAAATGTTTCCCAGGGGTGGCCAAACACCATGTATTAAAGAAAGTAGAAGAAATAAAGCGAATTTTAATTCTCGTTTGCTATTCATCGCCAATCTTCTATCGATCGTTTAGGGTTTTTGAAGAACGAATATTATCAACTCTGGGCTAATTACTTGTTAAAGTTTCTGGACGAATATAAGAAGAACGGGATTGACATGTGGGCAATTACAACGGGTAACGAACCGCTAAATGCCATTGAACCCATTTTTCCCCTTACCACTATGGGATGGACACCTGAAAGTATGGCTGATTGGGTCTCTAAGTTCCTGGGTCCAACTCTGGCGTCGTCGATACACAATGGAACGTTGATTTTGGCACTGGACGATAACAGACACGTATTGCCCCGGTTTGTCGAACCAATACTTAGCGAAAAGAACGGATCGAAGTACACCGCTGGAACGGCTGTACATTTCTATAAAGATAGCATTGCTCCTGCGACTGTATTGGACGCGATCCACGATTTATTTCCGGATAAAGTACTTCTCATGACCGAAGCATCCGTAGGTAAGATATTCGGGTAGAATGCTCGAAAATTGCGTATGTTCAAAGTACAAGTTACCGTATAAAAATTGTATTCCGTATTTGGGAAGCTCCGGTATCATGGAGGACACCAAATGCCGTGCCAGATACGTGGAATCGAGGCGAAAGTTACGCTTTAAGTATAATAGAGGTAAAACATTATTATCTTGATTTGACTACGAGCATGTTGGATAATTTCTAATGAAAAAACAAAATTTATTTCAAGTACATGAATCATTGGTCAATTGGATGGCTAGATTGGAATTTAGCTCTTAACGAAGCAGGCGGTCCAAGCTGGCTCAACAACAGCAACGATGCAGCTATTATTGTGAATTCAGACAGGGACGAATTTTATAAGCTACCCTTGTATTATGCAATTAAACATTTTAGTAGATTTGTTGATAGAGGTTCTGTTAGAGTTTCTATCACCGATACCGACAGTATTAAATCTACAGCCTTTACAACGACTTTGGAAGAAGTTGTTGTCGTGCTATGCAACAGGTAATACAAATTATTTTTAATATTGCATTTAAACCCGCTGTGGCGATACCTATTACGAGTGAGTTTTGGTTTTATGTCCTAGGAACAATTCTTCGAAATCTGTGATTCTAAAGGATTTATATAGGGGTACTCTTCGCTTAGAACTATCTCCACATTCTATGAACACTGTGATATACCAATAAAAAAAATTATTTTCGATCTATACGCTGCGTCAACCGGAATATGTTTAAATAAAATGAAATAAATCCAATTGTATTTAATTATTATATATTTACATCGACTGAATATTTTATGCATCCGGATAATACGTTTTTGCCCAACGTCCTACACTTCTTTTCTTTGGATTTTCTCTTAAACATCTCGGTATATAAATCGGTAAATGATCGTCCAATCTTCGTTTCATAGGTCGGTAACCAAACTGCCATGGATCACGTTTCTTATCTATAGGTCGAGTATTGTAATCGATTATATAAATTTTCTGCCAATTTGCTATTTCGGGTATTTTGCTATAAAAATAAATTAAAAATTTATACAATAACTGATGAAAGTGTTTAAATAGAGACAAATCACTAGTTACGAATGCATGTGGTTACGTACAAATGTCTCTGTCTGTTAGACATGAGATGTTTAAAAGACTGCTCTAACCACGTTCTCCGATCGTTGTCCGAAATATCAGCAATATGTTTTACAGATTCCCCTAAATATGGCTTCATATTTACCCCCATTCTTTCTTCGGGCGTATTAATATAGAACTTTACCAAGTTTCTTAAAACACTTTCGTTAAAACCGTGAATTTTCTCATCTTCCGTCGAATCAAACAACTTTTCTGGCTGAGTTACCCAGCATATATTGCGCAAAGGATTTTGATTCGCATTTTCTGAATGTACCAATGTGGTATTCAATTGGTAAACACAGAACGACCAGAACTCACCATCTGTTATAATACTTTGCGATACTAATGGATATGTTATATCATTAACTGTGGAAAAACCTAAAATTGGAAATATGTAAAAAGAAATATTCTTTTGCCACTTAATAATTGAACAAAATTCATTCATTAAGTACATCATGTATGAGAAAAATTTATTAATAAATACCTTGATAACAAGCCTGTGATAGAAGCCAACCGTAAGATGCAAAAATAGCTTGCACGACTAACGCGTCAAATTTATCATCGTAGGTACTACGTCTGTTTAATAAATGATTCGAATTATGATAAGACAATAAACCAAATTCAGCGGGATCACCAGGCCAAAAACCAGGAACACTGACAGCATGTTTATATGAATAGGTATGTCCCAATACTCTGGGATCCAATTTGTATTCAGGAACATTCCATTCTGGATTTTTAGAATCACTTAAAGAAATAATTTCTTTCAAAGGAAACTGATGCCTTAATTGCAAAACTGGAGAACCAGTATACTGAACAGGTATATCAATTGGATCATCTACTAATTCTTTATCTGTTTTGGAATTTAGTCTTGCTTTCCTTGCTAAAATTGGAGGATCTATGCCACCTGCAAACCAAAATGCTTCCACTCTTGGTTCAAAATCTATCTCAGCCTCCATTAAATGCGGTATAGTCGAAGACAGTGTAGCTAATATTATTCTATTGATTTGATAAATGACTGCATTTGTAATATCAACTTGAAGTTTTCTTTTGTCTTGTATATTCTTGGTTTTCAGTTCTCTCCTACAATATATATTAATTGAATAAATTACTAGATAATATTTACTCACCGTCTACTCATATTCTATAACAATACTTATAGACGTTATACTCACAATCTATAAGAATATTCGAAAGTAAGAGCATCCTCTATAGGTTTTTTAAGATCTTTGATCATAATATCTAACTGTTCAGATGTAATTAAATCATCATAACAGTTAGGTAATTGATAATCATCTACAACATGAGTCCTTGTAATGTATTGGGCTTGAGATAATGAGTTGTAAGGAACGCACCCTTCAAGCAGTTGCAATGATTTCCAACCATAGTAACGTGGCATATTAATTCCATACAATTTTTCCTCTACAGTTTCTAACACTTTAATTTTATTGTACCATACCTCCTTTTTCCTATTTCTTTTAGCCTTTCGAGACAGATCTAGTACTGGTGGATAAATTACTTCTTTCGTCATATCTGACTTAGTAACTGCAGGAACGGCATATTTTCGAATAGGATTCTTTATGATAGTTACAGAATAATTTGATAAACACTTTCGAAATTTGGCAAACATTATTGAGAAATAAAAGAAATCTTCAAATTAACCTTTGCTATTAATATTGAGGTTATACGCAAAAATGGAACCGTATTACGCTATTGTCATTTCAACCAAACATCTTAACATAACTTATATACAATTTAAACCGATGAATCGTTAAAAGCTACAGCAAAAATTATCATAGTTTGCTCGAAATATTAAACTCTAATAATTAGAGTACAAAAATATACGAACGTCGTAAATGCACATAATATATACACCAATTTGTAGATACGGCTACGCATGCGGACATGTTCTGACCCGTTTCTATTGTCATTCAACAATTTTCAACATTGACCAATAAAAAATTTTCTTTAAATGTTTATTAGTAAATGAGATTACGAATTTTTTATACCCATTGAACTAATTTTATAAAACTCATTTAATATAAATCACAAGTTTGGTATTAATAATATCGATTATTATTTATATTACCTATCAGTATTATCAAGTGAACGGACTATGAAAAGAATTAATAGCAATAAAAATTCAAATAATATCTTTTGAATTAAGCGTGGATCCACAGGACAGATTCGCAATTATGAATTTAAATTCAATGATACACTTGATATTGTAAGACAAATATATGCATTGTTTTTTTGTAACATTAGATAACACAATAAAATCTTTAATTACAGTATACAAAGTCTTTTTACTTAATCCCTAGTGATCGATTTGATATTAAATCAGTAGTTATGAATATCAGCCCATAAATTATGACACCGAATTATAGCAGTCAGATTGTCTGTGGCTGTGGCTGTATCACAGACGAGGTATACGAGTAGACCTTACACCTTATGGTCTTTCATGGCCCAATCTGACTGCCATACCGGCCTGAAAATTCGGAGGTGATTTTAGCGGCCTCTTCACATGGATGGCGGTCAGTTCAGAAACTATTCACTGAATTAGTATTGATAGGCAAACAGCTGTAGTGTTTGCGTAAATACATGTGAGTTGACTATGGAAGGGATTAAAATTAATTTCTGAATCTGTTGGTAACGTTGCGAATGACACGAAAATGGTAATGGGGTTTCGAGACCCCATAAAAATGGGTAAAAAAAATCCATTGGGTGAAAGATCCACCTGTATACCTCGTCTGTGGAAATACTCTTGAATCTTTGATGAATCAATGAGAATCAAAACTAACCTAGTGAAGAAGTTCTATATTTATGATGATCTATGCAAGGCGGATCGCAGCCAATTTGCTAATATTATTCAGTTTTTAATTAATAATTGCATTACCCAGCTAAGAGTGATACGATTATTAATAAAACCCTAAATAGTATTATCCAGGTCTCACCACGTGGAGGTTGCTGCGAATGGAGACCCGCCCTAACCGATTCCCAACCACCCTCCATTACTAAAGACCTGTGACCTGTGACCAACAATCGTTGATCGAAGAAGAAACAAACGAAAATGCAACCAACGAAGGAAACAACCAACGAAAGAGTTTCTTGAGAAAGAATTTGCCTGTAAATTCTCATCAACAAAACGGAGAAATGGACCAAAATATTGCCTGCCTGATATAATGATTAATATAGAGAACGAAATTCCTGCCTAACTATAAATCTAAATTCGTTTATATCCTACCTATCTAATCATCTAAGAAAATACATAGAAAATGTATTCTTCCTTCGACGAAGATTACCTGAAACATACTGTTACATTGTATCTAAATATAAATCTAAATTATTAAAACATAAACTTAGTAAACTGAAACAAAATACATGAAATACATTATTTTTTCTTTTATCTTCTATTTATCCCACGATGATTTCCTGAAACACGAACAAAGCAATATCAAACAAAATTGTAACAATTCTTAATTGTTACTTTTATAAACCTGAAACTTCCATAGGAATATGCTCTGTAACAGAAACTTGTTTGATAGATTAGTAAGAGAACAAACAAAAATTTTACACCTGCAAGAAGCATATGGCCAACACTGAATCTGTAAAACTACAAATACTACAACTACAGGCAAGTGCAGTGAGAAAGTAAAAATAGTACATAAAGTACGAGGTTACTTTGACTCTAAAATGTATTCGTCGCGAAATATCTTCTTGCACGTCAATCTAATGATATATTTTAATAAGTGAAGGAAGACTTTGGGTATCTTCGATATCGAAAAAAACAATTATTTATACAACCCACGCTATCGAGCATAATTTAACTATTGCCTGATGTTAATTAATAATTGTTGCAAACAATAGGAATGAAAATATGGTTAAATTCCAGGTGACTGAAGGATTCTTTGAATTTCTAACGAGAACCAAGGTCATACATCACGTATTCATTTCTTCGATCTTCTGTCCTTTATACGATACTTTCTTTTGTATAAGTTTTCACCTTTCATTTCTTATCAGTAAATTATACAGGATTCTAACAAAGATACGTAAACTGCGTCACTAAAATCGCAAAACAATATATTGCAACACCCAACAAAACACATATTAATACACACGAAGAGAAGCTCAAGCATCGAGGGGTTTAATCTCGAAACATGCGAGAACAATTCTCGTGTCCGCCAATTGGAACGTTTTAAAAATATTAAAACGATTATAAATATTATATTAAAAAATTTCAAATCGTTCTGGAAAAATTATTTTCGGTTGCGGGGGTCAATTAGAATCATTTTTGGTAATAGACATATCCTTGAAATCCTACGCATTTTCGAGAAAAAAAATTCTCGTCGAGGTTACCCTAGGTAGTAATCGCGATTGTAAAAGAAATACAATAAACATTCCAAGCTAACGTTTTTCTTTTGATGCTATGCGAAATACACACGAGGTATACGAATAGACCTTCCACCTTATGGACTTTGATGACCCAATCTGACTGCCATACCGAATTATTTTTTAAATAAATAAGGATTTTTGGTGTAGTTGTCAATGAGGTACATCCTGAAATCTTTAAATAATCTTAATCGATTGGTTACTCCAATGAAAGTAATCGATTGATGCCCAATTCTGGACCGTACAGCTTTCATTCCGTTAAAAATTAATAAAATTTATGTAATTTCATTTTCTGTCTCACTTCCTCTTGTGTTAATTTTTAAATCTGTTGATAACGTTGCGAGTGACACGAAAATGGTAATGGGGTCCCGGGGCCCCAGAGAAACGGGCCGAAAAAATACATTAGGTGAAAGGTCTACTCGTATACGTCGTCTGTGGTAATATTGTCAGATACGTTGGTAAGTACACTTTCTTTATAGTGAATTGATCGTGCGTCGCCACCGGACGCACCATGGAGTGATCTACCTTACTCACTCAGCTGTTTGCAAATTGCAACACCCCGTATATTGGTTAGTGTGATTGATCCCACGAGTACAATAAAACAAGCGAGGGTTAAAATAAAAAACAATTTATTAACGACAATCGCTATAATTACAATATTATATATCGCGTGTGAAAAGCAATATTTCACTTTATACATTGTGTTTCTTCATTTCCCTTTCTGTTATTTTGAATTACTCGACGATAATTGTTCGATCGAATTGCAAGCTTGCTAGAAAATGTCCGAACGCCCTCGTCATCTCATCTTCGTTTTTCGTTCTCGAAAGTAGCTAAAATTTTTACTCGTTACTCGGGAACAAAATTCGACCGACTACAGTTTAGAACAGTTGCAAATTTTCGAGGCGGTAGGCAAAGATAGACGGAATTTTATTCGAATAATAGATGTGACCCCCGTTTTTGAAACAATTATGAGAACCGAAAAAATATTAACTGTTAACTGGTAATTCCTAACGAATTTCTCGTCGTACTCATCGACAATTTCCTGTTGAATTAGACATCTTGGTCCGGGGAGATGAATCTCGGTTGGAGATTTAATTTATCTACATTGTAGTTTCCGAAATTTTCCCTTGAACGTTCAGGGAAAGGGAAGAAACAATCTGGCTTATTTCGGTTCTATAACAGTTCCTTGCTTACATTTATTCCGCGAAAAGCATCACCGATCGAACAAACAATAAATAACGCTCAACATGGAACGTCCACGAGTAGGAAAAAGAACCATTTTCTCTCGTTCGAACCACGCTCGAGCGCGAAAGGTCTTCTATAATGATAATAATGATAAAGACGAGGATGGCAGCAATCGGTAGCCAATTAAACGATCGTACGTAGAAATGTTTCTCTTATTAACCAATCGAAGCAGTGCCGGGCATCGTTTGAAGTATCTTTTATTGTAAATATTTGAAATAATTACACGCGCACATTCTTGCGAAGCGATTAGCTAAAACGACGATCGGAAACGACTCTTATCCTTCCGTTTTGTTCGAAGCGAACGACGCGTTACAGTTAGAAGCAAACTCGACACTTTAGCGAAAACGAAACGCTTTGTACCAAGCATGTCAAACGCGCGGCCTGATCCGTTACATTTTCACTCAAAACGATAAAAAGGCCCTTGGGTTGAACCGAGTTTTAACATGCCTGGTCTACGCTATACGAACTAATCGGGCAGCCTTGTGTTACTATTTCAAATATTTTTGTTCGATCGTTACTTCAAACAATCATCCATCAAAGTCGCATCGGGCCCGAGATGCGGTCAAAACGTCCCTAAAAGTGGGACGCGGTAAAACACTATGACGAAGATGCTAGTCTCCCTGTATAGTCGTCGCTGGATTTCGATCAGCACTGCGATTTAGGTGCCTGGGAATATTTACAATGTACACCGACGACGATTAACTGCACAATCTATTGGAGTTTCTCTCGGAATACGTTTACACAGATTCGGTAATAGCTAGTACACATGTACGCATACATCGTCACCATCGGTCGACCGTTTCGTTCGTGGACATCGAGCCTCGAGAATTTCCATCGAAAATTTCCACGGGATTAAAAATGTTCTATCCCTGTTGCGTATCTCTAATGTGCACGTACTGTTCGCGTCCAGGGCACCGAAAACTTGCTGCATCCAAGGCATCTCGTGGCTATTGTTTCATTTTATTTAATCCTCTTTTTTTTAAATAAATAAGTCGCGATCGCTTTGTTTCTCTTCGTTTTCTTTCTTTTTACTCGGTAGCATTGGACGTCAGAGCATATCTGTATTCGACAACGAGAAAATTACTAAGTTTATCGACTTGTTCGCATCTTCTCACTCTCTCTCTCTCGCTCAATGTATTCCTCGTTTACGCTTCTCAACCCTTATTTTCTCTCATTCGCACGGACACACTTTCTCTTCCTCTCCGCCTCCCTTGTTCCGTTTCCTTTCAACCGGTGCAGAAAATAGTTTTGCTTTCGTCGTTTAGTTCGTCCCTTCGCTTAAAAATTGCCGACGCGAACGGCACTCCGTAAACCTAAGCGTTCTGTATCGTTAAGTTATAGTATCGAAACCTTTTTCATGTTACTTTGTATGGCGGGAAAGATAACCGCGCTTCGAGAATACGACTATGGAGCACGAACGATACACGCTTCCGTTTCCGTAACCCAAGTGTCTGCCGCGAGAGACAGTTCCTCGACTGGGTGCTTTCATTTCTATCACGGTGTATTTTATAAAAATACTTTGCTTTCGTCGGTAAATCGATCGAGGCCGTTAAAATAAGAAAACGATAAACCCGGGGTGCTCCATACTCGAACGCTGGAAGTGTTCGCGGATCGAGTCGTACGAAACTAATTTCTCGTTTAAATATACATATAGCAACGTCGTTACGTAGTGTTTTATTTATTTTTCTATCGTTAATGGAGACACGCCGGATCGTACGAGGAAGGAGCGAAACTTTTTTATACAAGTACTATCAGCCGGAACGCGATACGTCTCGAGCGTGCGCGTACGTAGGTACCTCTGTATGTTACCTTATATGTTATCTAGCATTTTTACGATTAGTACTATTACTACCACGGTGCCCTGGCTGTCGGTAAACTATAGAATGTAAACGCTAAATCGTCCACGGTGCTATACTCGAAATAAAACTATATCGTTCGACAGAATACGTAAGACAGACCATGCAGTGCACTACTTGTCCTCTCGTGCATAGGAAATTTCTGCGCGATCCAATTGCTGCTGGGCATTCGTTCGAACGATTATTTTTAAGCAACGGTACACTGACGACAGACTACGCGATCGAACAGAACGCGGAATCGTATGAGATAATTTTTGTTTAAAAACCCCAGTAGGATCAGAGAGTGCGTGTAAATTTCAAATATCTATATTTCATTTTCAATCGAAATTAATATAAAAGTTATGTACCAAATGTAAGTTCGGTTTGATCGCCACGACAATTTCTCAATTATCGTTCGTTTCTTTTTTCGTTTTTCCGTTATTACCTATGCGTTTATTTTTACCCAGCGTTGCGAATTTGACTGCTTTCCTTTTTTCTTTTTTTTTTTCCTGTTTTCTTCTTTTGGCTTTGTAAGTTATGGATTGGGCTGCGCGCGCGCGTAACGCGTTAGGAACCTTGATAAGGCAACGAAGAAGCCCTGAATCTTACGAGTGTATTCTTTTCCATTTTCACGCTCTTTAGGATGCTCTTAACGCTCGACGATTATTCATAATACTCGGACGCGAACAAAAACATTTCCACAAATTTCTCTGTAAGAAAGAGACCCGGTACCGGTATGATTCTCCTTCTACGCCTCTTACTTTTTACGCGTCTCAATCGTTTTTCTTCCTTTTTTCCCCTTTTGTCACCAATTTAATCAACTGGAATAATTTTTATTTGACAATACATTATACGTTGATACAAAAAGACCACAAAGCACAAAAAGTTACGCAAAAAAGCTCGTGCCACGAAGCTTATATCGTAATTGGGTTACTCCGAATTATGGCTGATTTGCAGCGAAACCATAATTATGCGTAAGATTAAAATTTTTTTTAAAACGTTTCTTATACGCCGATACAAATTTCGGAATATTCGTATGTATGACACGATCGTCAACGTAAAAAGTGAGAAATTCTAGAAGATTAAATACACGATCGGAGAACAATTTGCCGATTGTTCTTCGTGTAATTTCGTGTGGGATAACAAATATCCGGACAAAAGCTCTCAAAAATATATATAATAATATAAAATACGTTCGTTTACACCAACAAATTTCTAAATTTTCAGGACAAACGTAGGGGCAATCGAATAGAATACAACATTCGTAAAGTTCAGTATTTGTTAACAGACAAAACAGCAATTTGTATACAAAACTTTCAAACAATTTCATATCACAGCACTAGCTATAAATACAACGTCGAAAAGAGAGCTGAATACGAGAGCTGAGCCAGTATTTCGTTAGAAGGACGAAAGAACACACCGAACGGAATTCTACGCAAAAATTGTATGCACTGCGAGAATCACGGGACCGAGGCTCCATCTTCGATTATTTCTTTTTTTTTTTTTTTTCTTCCATTAATATTTTCACTACAGAGAGCTTATTATACTACGCTTCGAAGATCTGATGGGAAACAATATCGACAGCAGAACTGAAATAAAACGTTTCTCATAGCAGAAGACCGTTCAAGATCACACGGTACGCTAAACGATTCGGTTCTTCCTTATCACATGTGCATCAATTTTTGCACTCGATCATTACCGAAATCTTGATCACTCCGTTCTTCGTTCTTTACAAAACAACGACACGACTTTGTTTTTGCACGTTTACAGCCATCGTCCTTGTTCATGTTCGTCGTTTTCATCGTCTTCTTTCTTTTCCGTTTAATAATATATACGTACGCACGCGGTGCTTGTCAAATCACGTATATATACAGTGGCGTGCAAAAGTATCGGGCTACGTCATTTTTCCGTAATATATATCTTAACTGTGATATTGTATTTAAAATTCCATCGCGAGTAAATAATCCTTCGCGTCGGAGCAATTGTTAACACCGTAACGACGCATATTACCAACGATGGGAAATCTATGCGTGTAAAAGTATCGGGTCCAAGCGACGTTTGGCTCGGTTTCTTAGCAATTTACCGCTAATCTTTTGTTTCGTACGTTAAAAATAATAAAACAAACTTACTTGGAAACGATAGGATGTGGGATGTTTGGCGGTCGGTAGAAGGAAGATTATGTTACGGGATGCACTCTCTGCCTAAGGACTCGTATAGGGATCCGCCATCTTGAAAAGCCTTACAGACTTTAAGGAATTGGTGGGTACCCGACCAATCGAACGTTAAGCGGAGCTTTGGATACACAAGAAGGGTTAAAAGTGCAAGAAACGTACGAATGGTTAGTTCAATCGGCGCGTAATAAGCTGGCAAATCTCGAAAATACTGCAAAATTGAAAGAATTAATAAAATTATCGAATCGATGCTTCGGTGTGCAGAAATGATTTCTGCAAAGGGTCAAAGTATTAAGTACAACTATAACCTGTAAACGTTGAACAGCTCGAAGTTTGCGTTTGTATCGAAATCTAGCGGCAATTTATGTTGATAAAAAATCTTGGCCCGATACTTTTGCCCACACCCGGTCTCGATATCAATAAATATACATCGTTACAACAAAGATACCTTACCATCGAACGTTCTGCATATTACGGAATTCGTCGCACGACCTCGTGTTTAAAACCTGTTAAGAAAAAATATTGCGGCACGGTACTTTTGCACGCCACTGTACATGTAAGGATGATTCGCCACCGATGATTGACTGGACCGTATTCGGAAACTGGAATGGATCAGCCATCCATCCGCGATGCCACCGACGACAACGGAGGGTGCGGGTGATGTACCAAGGCCGGAATTCCATTTGCGTCAGGCTGCTGACTGCCGGTTGGAACCGAGCACGAAGTAGGGTGTTGCTATTTCTTGGTCGGCGTGCCTCGCTGCGTCAAACCCTCGAATCGTTTGAACGTGTAATTAATGAATACCCAATCCTTGTACGACACCTCACCGTCCTGAGGCATCGGCGCGGATGCTGTAACAAGCGAAACAATCGCGTCACAATTACGAATCAAACGCTTCTCTTTCTTTATTTCGAGGCGAAGTCGAAGACACTTACGTATCTCTAATTTCACATCAGGAAATTCGTCGAAGTTGGATGTGTCGTCGATGGAACGAACTTCGACTGGAATGGCGGCCGGCCTTTCCCTGATGTGTTCCCAATCGACGCCACGGAAGAAAGGCGCCAGTTTAAGCTCTTCGATGCCCCTTTGAGCGCCTACCGTTTCGAACCAATGATTATTTACGTATGTCTACAATTATTTGCGATATGATATTTGTTCAAATCAAGATACTGACCTAATCTTCTGTCAGCCTCGCAACAGAATCTGATTATAGTGTCTTTAGCTTCCTCGCTGATGGGAACTTCTGGCGGAAACACTAGTGTCTCCCTCCAATTCATAACTTTTCTATATGTCTCCTGCGGATTTTCGCTACAGAACGGAGGATATCCTGAGACAGACGCAGCACACGATTATCGATAGGAAGGAGGAGGAACGAGGAGTCGTCGAGGCAACGAGATACAGTACCTATAAGCATTTCGTACATGATCACGCCCAAGGACCAGCAGTCGCAGGCAGGTCCGTAACCAGTCTGCAGAAATACTTCCGGAGCTATGTAATCGGGCGTTCCTACTGTACTGTGAGCCAGCGCTCTCCTGTTCCTTTTCCAGCTTTCGGCCCTTCTTTTGCTATCCATCGCGCCGCCGCTTCCGCTACCGCAGGACGTCACTGTGCAAACAGTTGAGTATCGCTTTGAAATCGAAACAACGGGAACAAAGGGTAAAACGTTCGCGCGAACCAACAAAAAAAAAAAACTGAACCAAACGCTTACTGAAATCCGAAGGCTTCGCTTGACTGAGATCTCTATAGAAATCGGTTCTATGAGACTTCTTCAGACCCGTGCACAGCCCAAAATCAGAGAGCTTTATGTGACCCCGTGCGTCCAGCAACAGGTTGTCCGGCTTGATATCTCTGCGAACGAATCATTGAAAATACACGCCTGTAACTCTATTGTTATTCATTCATTAACTACCGGGGGAAAAGTCCGCGCGTATTCCGTTTGTTTTCAATTTACAATTTTCTGGTACTCACCTATGAATGAAACCTAGCTTATGAATGGAGTCGATCGCTAACGCAGTCTCGGAAATATAAAATTGCGTGCACTCCTCGGAAAGCGTATCTTTCTTCATCAGCAACGTCATCATATCACCTGCACCGATCACCGAATTAAGATGTAGCCAACGAGAGAGACGTGCTAGTTTAATTTGAAGCTTACCGCCAGGTAGAAACTCCATGATTAAATAAAGGTTTATGGGATCCTGAAAGCTGTAGTACATTTTCACGACCCATTGATGATCCGCTTCCACCAGGACGTCCCTTTCCGCTCTGACGTGCGCGACTTGCTCTTTCTCCAGCATGTCGGCTTTTCTCAGAATTTTCATCGCGTACACGTGACCGGTGTCCTTCTTCTGCACGAGTCTTACCTTTTTGAAACAACGGCAACGATTATTCATCCATCTATCGCGTTTCTGCGCCCTCGTTCAATTGATATTCAAACGGTGCTCGAGAAATATTCGGACATTTAAGGGAGAAGAGTGTTGGCCGATCGTAAATCGACGCGCGGAGCTTGCTAGTCGAGCAACGTTCGCACGATGAGTATTTCTCGCATTCTTGTTAAAAATTTACCTCTCCGAAAGCGCCCCTGCCAATTACTTTGAGGGGCTCGAAGTCTTCGACGCCGAGTCGAGAGCGCTTCAGCCGAAGGAATTCGGTCTCTTTCTGAGCATGCTGCAACCGTTTCTCCTGCTTCTGTTGCTCCGAGAGCCCTTCGTCTTTCAACGATTCCTCTAATTTCGCGAGCCTCTGCTTCCGCTCGATATGCTGAGCTATTAGATTACTGTAGTAATTCTCCAACGTTACCTGCCCAACAAAACATACAAAAATCTCTCTATTTGCTCCGTTTGGTACATCGTTCCGGCAAAACTGCATCCCATATGCGATTGTACCCGCTTAACTGTCCCGATCGCTGACGACATTTTCAATTTTACCGTAACGAAATTGATTCGATCGAGGTAATTTTTAACAATTTATCGGTAGCTAAGAGTAGGGTGCTGCGTTTCGTGCCGGATGTGCTAGTTGAACTTTTCAGGACCGTTTATCTAGCAGAACCTGCCTGTTCAAACATTTTCCTGCTCGCGAAGAATGCGGACAAACTTAGCGGGGTTGATAGTAGCCATCTAGTAGAAAAGCTTAAACCATAAACGGAACGTTGAAATTTAATTAAATTAAATACGCGGGTAACCGGCTATGAGCATCGTCTACTTGCATTTTTAATTTAATTATCCCACACGTGCAACGAAACTGGTGAACTCTTTGTGGTAATTCCAGATAACGTGAAATCTTTCTACGACACGGTTGCGTTTAAGGAGGTGTTCTAGCCTAGAACCTCGAGAAAATCGATCTTTTAATACCATTTTCTGAAAGCATACGCTCTCGAAAATATTTCTACCGGTGGATTTAAAAAACCAATTACCTTCTGGATCAGAATGCTCTCTTAACGAATAGAGAGGGGCTAGGGTATGCAAAGAAACGAATAGATGGGGAAGAAAAGGACGGAGAGAAATAGAGGAAATAAAGATGCGAAAAGCTCGGCTCACCTTGGCCTTTGTAGCCTTGTCCAACGTATGGCCGCTGAATCGGATCGTGCTCTCTGTGGCCGCCATCTCCAGCACCCCTGTAACACACGCAAAAGGAGGTCACCGAGTGTCGCACACCAGTCTCCAGAACCGAGGTCTTGTGCCATGACACTGACACAGATCCTTCCGCGCTGGAATCCTTCCCTCGATCTAATTAAACGCGTCTCGCGAATCACCACCATCGGCAAACAAACCTAATCTCCGCGAATCGTTACATAAACTTTCGAGTTAGCGAATCTTTCAAGCTTTTGGGAGATCAGAAATGTTTGCCCTACTTTTTTTTGAGGGGGGGTTGTTCTCGATAAAGTTTGGAAACCAGTCTCTCGACTGGACCCGAAGTTGGTCGGTTAGAAACGGAACGGAAGTACAGTGTTTACAAGGTGGTAGCACGCGACGTGCAATTAAAAGGAAAAAATAACGCGGCCTCGTTGAGACGATGAGCGACTAATTCTTTCGAGCCAAAGTTGTAGGATCGTCCCGAGGTCATTGCGTGTCATCATCCGATGAATCATCGTCACGCGATCGTTGCTCGAGATGGACGACGAAGCAATCGAAACAATTGAGTACTCGACACGTTTCGACTTTGACGCAATTCTTACAATCAGAACAAACGTCCAATAGGAGAGACGTCTCGATACTCATTTTATTCATTCGCGAATAAATATTCAGTTCTGTAATGCATACTGATTTTTATTCTTCCTCTAAACGCTCATTATCCATTATTTACTCGTAGGTGGTGTCCGGTGACAAATCGTCGGCTTCGAGTGAACCGATGGTTTACAGTCAACGCGTCGACTTGTTCATTAACGATATTGCCAACGTGTTTGTTTTAAGTAGTTTCCTTTTTCTACACCGGTGATACGAAGTCTTTAGAAACATATCCACTTTGCAACTTTTATACAACACTCTATCTATCCCGCACCTTGAACATTATTAAATTATCCAATGACCTCGTTATAATAGCATTTCTATTATGATTGAACGCGTCTAGCGCAAATTTCTTAACCGTACCTGTTAAAAAGTGGGCGTTATGTCGGTAACCTGTCGCAACTAAAATCCCTTACTCCGGTAGACGCGATTAATGTCTCTGGAAAAAACGCAGAATCATAGCTGGCCTATTAATCTTATGGAAATCGATTAAGTGTCGCGTTGCGGGCCTTCATATTTTACAATACATTAAGCTTTATGCGCTAATTAGAAACCTGATACAATCCCCATTATTTTATATCGAACAATATCGAACGCTATTAGGTAAACCCATAGATCAGTTGTATTATTAACATGGATAAATTTTGATTCTGAAGCGACAGGATCCTATAGAAAGTAACGAAGGAATCGCAGATAAGACAAGTTCGTGGTACAGAGTCTCGAAAATGGACATTCTCTTGCGCGTTCTGGAGCAAAGGTCAGCTAGCCTTGAAGTTTATTAAATAATGGACGCGGTGAATGGTCGTGCCGTGCCCACACACGACTGTTTTCCCGCGTATAACACGGTGGATCGAGTTTCTCTCGAATCCGTCAAAATTATGAGTGCTTTTTCCGTTCTGGTTCCACCATCTTCGTCCACGGTGACCTAAATGCATAATCTGATCCTCGTTGGAAAACTCGAATCGTCCGATCTGCCACACACCGACGATTATTATTAAAATTTCTTACTAGAATTATGTACATTCTCTCGCAACTACTATCGAAGTTAGGTGCAACAGCAACGTTTGGCTGTACTTCGTCTCTGTGCATCAATTCAACAACCATCTGTTCGATGTTTACACTCACGTCCATAAATCAGCTGACACTTAATAAATTATGTAAATTACGAAACGTAAGTAACACGTTTGTATTATAAAAGAAATGTAAATCATATTATACGTAAAGAATTTTACAAAAAACTTGGCGGACAATGTTCAGTGTCCATCTCTAATAATTGACACATTTTTCATGTGTTTCGATATAAAAAAATAAAAGTAAATGTAACGATAGGGCAGGGAGGCCTTTCCAACGATGGTGTCTGTATCTTACTCTGCATTATTCAAGTCGGACAAACAACCACTCGAAGATTAATGGATAGCAGTGTACACTCCTTCTGGTAACTGCGTAACAAAAATGATACACGCAACGATAATAATAATTATTATTATTCGCGAAACTACGCGTTGTTTGCATTTTGAAACATTGAAATGCTCTCCAATCCGTTCAAAAGTTACGATGTTTTAAACATACGCATGAAATTTCAGGGGAACCATTCACTCATGGTCAGACATTGTATTTTCGGTAAGGAATATTTTTCTCGAAAGTGCGTAGAATTTCAAGGGTATGTGTATTGGCCAAAAATGCTTGTAATCGATCCCCTTAGCTAATAATAATTTTTTTAGAACGATTTGAAATTTTTTAATTTCGCTAAGAAATGTCAGCACCTACCTGAATTTTTTTCTCGAAAGTGCGTAGGATTTCGGGGGTATGTCTATTCACAAAACATGATTGCAATTAACCCCTCTAGCTAAAAATAATTTTTTTAGAACGATTTGAAATTTTTTAATTTCGCCGATAAGTCTAGGCGAACCGTATGCAAGAAATCGCGACGCACTCGAGAGATCGCGACGACGGAGTACGGAGTATGTCTTCTCAAGGTATATTTCGCGATTTGATCCTCGGTGGACTAGGGAGTAGGTACAATGACGTCACGCGCTGATTACATTACGGATTACAAGGCCGCATTAAACTATTCTAGAAGCCGTACTTCGCTAGCCTCACTTCCATTCAGTCTGCAAATAAAGGGTAACATAAGACACAACCAACGTACACCGGGTAACCGAAGTATTCACCGCGAGGGACGCGTTTGGATTAATTACTAGTCTGCGTAAGCTTACGCGTGGCATCGAACGATGGAAACTATGTGCCAGGAATCGAAAAGGTTCGTTTCGTTTCTGGGATTTGGCTCGAGGCGCGCGATTCCGTTTCCTTAAAGCACGACGATGCTATTTACGTTGCGGGTACGAAGCGGTCTTTATCGCGGGGAATTGGCGGTATCGCCGCGGTTAAATGCAGCTGCAGAGATTTAATGAGACGACGCGACGGCGCGGCGATAAACGTCACGTGCCACCAAATTATGCAACGTTTTTGCTACCCGCGCTTTCGAAAAGCTTCACGTTATTGACCCCGCAAGCTTAAAAGCACGTCTTCGATTGCAAAATCAAGTTACACGGATCTCTTGATATTGGAAGATTTCACCGAAACTCTCCTGAATACACTGTCTCGAACGTTCGGTCTAATAAAAGAAACCATTAATGAAGTTAAAACAAGCGTGTCTCGTAATGTCGATACCATCGATCGACGTTAATTCTATTTGCAGGTTCCTATCGACCGAATAAGGATCGTGGCAAGACGGAAACGAATACGACGACACTGAGAGGCGGTGCACACAGCATCCGTTCGCAAACAAATGGCAACCGATCGTGCACCAGCACTGGAACAAGGCTACGGATACGTTACGATTCTACAGCGTCGTTGAACTTCGGTTAGAAATCGTGTGAAAGTGAAAACGCCGATTCCACCGTGCCACGGTGACCTCCGATACTAGTCTCTGTGAACAGAAAACTCGACTACATCGAGATAAAACGGGGGAAAAAGGTATCTATTCCGCGTGGTACTGCCGGTTCTTTGTTAATTTCGCGCGTTGAAAGCTCGGCGAGGGCGGTAAACAAGATACACCCGGGAAAAGGAACACCTGGCAATAATACACGCCTACCAGAAGAGGAATTAGACTGAAACGACAGCTTCCTCGAGCTTTTCCTTTGCTGTTTCGCGATCGATGCAAGACGTACACCTTGCTCGCTGTGCACGTTCAAGAACTCAGCCTTTCTCGACTTCCTTACGAAACTTGGGTAAATTTCTTCGCATTCATCGCTTTTGCAAAAGTTAAACACAAGGAATAAAAAGTTCTTAGTACCATGCAGAGGTGCGTATCGCGTGAAAGAACCTACATATGCTCGAGCAAGTTGGAGTAGCGCTACGAGCTGTCTGCCGCATTACCATAAGTGGATCAAGAGCCTTCTCGTCGCGAGATATTTACCAAAGCGTCTCGAATAAAAAATTCGGTGACTGACTCGTACCTACGTGTCGCGTGTATTTACGTAGTTACGAGTGCTTGTTACCCAAATTGCGACGCGATTACCGTTCATCGGGTAAATTTCAATTTTAAGCGGAGGAACGCTTTAAAACGACTTTATTAGATCGCGACCGATTCGAGCGGATTAACCATGTTTCGTGCGGTCAACGATCTTTGCGAGCTGCGGCTACGTAATTAAAATTTAACGTATAAAATCTTCTCCGTCCGGTATATGCCTCCGGAGAATTACTCCGCAAAAATTCTCAGTCGCCTAATCGCCGGTACTTTTTACCAAAGGCCGGGGCTGCTTTCGAATAATTGGATTCGAAGAGATTGTAGGTCGCTTCGAGCCGTAGGATCAAAACACAATAATAAGGACAGGATGACCCGACGACGAAAGTAAAACAGTTACACGGTACACTTTGTGTAATATACTACGATCGTATCCGTGTTCCGCGATCGCGAACAGTCGAATAGCGGGCGCGGCGATCGATGGTAGATGATCGAAGAGAAAGGCGAAAGGAACGTTCGTTCTATATCGCTACACGTTAACAATTATTCGCGTTCTGTTCAAATAGTTATATTCCAACGTACGAGACCTACTTTGACGGTTAATCGAGGACAGAAAAATAACGAAAGTACAAACATCTATCCTTTTTCGATTCCAAAGTCACATACAGTGCCGAACAAAAGTATTGGCACAGAGCTTATTTTCAAATAAAATGTTATGTAACTGTGAACAAAGCATAACATGTTCCTTATTTTTGGTATAAAATATAAGTTTGAGGTTTGAACTTTAAGTATCTCGCGAAACAAAGCGATTAAGTAGGCCTGTAATAATAAAAAATAATAACAAACACATACAGGGCAGTTTTCGACGAAACAAAAGTATTGGCACACTTACTATTTTATAATACAATATTGAAATTAACATTT